GCACGCGGGGGTGGGAGGGGGAAGGGTAGACGATCGCTGTTGCCGCCGTCAGCAAGTGCGAGGAGGAGAGTGAGTGAACGCGCCCGCACGCACGGGGGTTCCGGGAGGCAACTGCATTGGGCTCGGTCGAAACAATTCGAACACGCAAGCGAACGTTTTCGTTGCCACGTCTCGTGCGAGTCTTCGGGCTGCCCGCTGAATGAGAAATAAGTTTAACATGGTTATTGCACCCAAGGAGCTAAATATAACAAGGAGAGGAAGCGGATTGGCTGTGCGCTTTTCGCCTCAAGGGCGCCATCTATGGACCATAATCAGCTGAAACGGTTGTGCAGACCAAACCCAGAGACAATAGAACACTAATCTGTTCTAGGGTTTCTGCCGAACCCAAATTTGGGCCAGATATGGCGGCGCTTCCTCTCCTTGTTATATTTAGCTCCTCGATTGCACCCTGCGCTCATTCCCTCGCTTTCCGTTACAGACGTGGACATCGTCGTGAAGCTGCTGCTGTCGATCGACCGACGTGGAAGCGTCGCGGACGCCGCCGACACCGTCCGCCTCGCGACGCAGTACGCGGCGTCGTCCGGCGGCGTCGTCGTCGGCGTCGACCTCAGCGGCGACCCCGCGGTGAGCGCCCTCGTGTGGCGCGGCGAGGAAACACGCGAGGCGGCGGTTTTTCTCGTCGCTCAACCGGCGAAAAGGCGTAGGCGTGCGTTTACACGTACCAGGGAAAAAAGAAAAATTTATTTTTCGGGGGCTACTTTTTAAACTCGCGTGCATGAAAATAGCACTCTAAAATTTGGTTTGCATTGAAATCTATGCAAATTTACGGGGGCTCTTTTTGGCATTTCGGGGGCTAAATCGCCCCGAGCCCCCGTGTATTTTTTTCACTGACACGTACTTTAATTCGCGCAGGAGTCGACGAGGGCTGACGCTGTTTTTAAGCCGATTTTCGCACCTCGATGGCACGCGTACGGTAACCACGCTTTGTAGTCCGGTCATAGCAGCGGACGGCTAGCGACCCAACACCTGTCGGGGTGTAAGGACGTAGACCGTTGACTGTTCGCTTTGGGCGAGAGCATCTGTTTTTAACTTTCTCTTTAACTTCTCCGACGGAGTCGCCACGTCATTGTCTGATGCGTGAGTAGTTGCTGCTGATATTAGTGGTGTTAAAGCAATTACGGTGAAACCGATGTTGAACCTCAATGGAGAGACAGAGAGAAGGTTGTTTGAGATGTGGATGAGAAATTTGGACTTTCTGCAGTTATTGAGAGATGGAGAGTAGGTTGTTTTAGATGGGAAAGATGTTTTTTTTGCAATGATTTAGAGGTGGAGAGATGGTTGTTTGGGATTTGGATGAGAAAGATGGAATTTTGCAATGAGAGATGGAGAAAAGGAGCTGGGGATGAGAGAGATAAAGAGAAAGAGATAGGATGAGAGATACGGCTGTTCTGCCACGACGGAGAGAAATAGATGGGGGACGAGAGAGGTGGGAACGGGCGCGACGACGGGTGGACGATCGTTCACGTGTTTAATCGAGTTATCATTGGCAGGTGAACGACGCGAGGGTCTTCATTCCTGTGCTGAGGGAGGCGTCTGCTGCCGGCTTGAAGCTGTCGCTGCACTTAGCCGAGGTGCGTGGCGCCGTTAACTCCTGAATGTGAACCACCATTGAATGTTAACAACCGTTGTATATGAACCCCCGTTGAATGTGAACAAACCTTGAATGTTAACTCTCGTTGAATGTGAACAAACCTTGAATGTTAACTCTCGTTGAATGTGAACTCCTGTTGAATGTGAACCCTCATTGAATGTGAACAACCATTGAATGTGAACTCCTGAATGTGAACCCCTGTTGAATGTGAACCCCCATTGAATGTGAACCTCTATTTAATGTGTACCCCTGTTGAATGTGAACAACCATTGAATGTGAACAGCCATTTAATGTGATCTCTCGTTGAATCTGAACCTCCTCCGTTGTATGTGAACCCTCATTAAATGGGAACTCCTGTTGTATGTGAACAACCATTAAATGGGAACCTCCATTAAATGGGAACCTCCGTTAAATGGGAATACCAGTTGAATGTGAACACCAGTTGAATGTGAACCCCCGTTGTATGTGAACCCTCATTGAATGGGAACCCCCGTTGTATGTGAACAACCATTAAATGTGAACCTATGTTATATGGGAACACCAGTTGAATGTGAACCCCCGTTGAATGTGAAATGTCATTGAACATGAAAACTAATGGGATACGAACATGCATTGAACATGAACACACGTTGAACATGTACTTTCCATATAGTGCGAAGCAGAAGGCCAGTTCTTCTCGAGGATTCCGTGTTATGACGTGACTTGGCGAAGCTTACTGGAATTTTCGCACGCATATCTTCGTATGCTGCTTACATGTGTAGAAAATTCCAGTCTCAAGTATTCGCCCGAGTGTGGCTTAATTCGTAAATATGACATGACTATTTGTAGAATTTTTGTATATATATATATATTATCATGAGTGAATAATAATAGAATCTATTATTCACTCTTGCTATTATGTATGTATATATATATATGGATAATATGTGTGTGTGTGTGCATGCATGCGTGCGTCTGTGCATGCGCGCGCGCGTCCGTGTATTTTTAAACTTGTAGTATAAATACACAGTACGATCGGGTCGACGACGTCTTTCACTTCGTCAGGTCGTCAACAACGAGGAGACGTTGGAGCTGCTGAGGTGCGTGCGCGTGGACAGGATCGGTCACGGGGTTTTCCTGCACCCGGAGGTCGGCGGCTCGCAGGCCATCGTTGACTGCGTGCGATCCAACAGAACTCCCATAGGTGAGCCCGGCGTCGAACGTACGGTGAACCCCTGCATTGTTGAACACCTCTGCAGAACGACCACCTTCCCATAACGACCACCTGTCCAGAGAGGCCAGTTTTGGCATTTACCACGAGCGAAACCTGACTTTGTAGAATAGCTACCTTCGTGTAAAGGCCGCTTGGAAGTTTTCCCCGGGATGGTCGATATATGCTGGTTTGATTGTATATGTGTAGGATGTAGAATGGAGGAATATTTTATAGATAGGTGAGTGTGGCATTGAAATATCTGGAAAATCTCCAAATTATGGAATTTTGGGCGAATTTTAGCATTTGAAATAGCAGCTAGGTCAGCAACTATTCAATATGCACAATTTGTGCTAGCAGTAGTAATGGTAGCTTTAGTCATATCTATATCTTGCTTTTAACGCATTACGCAACACAATTATGCGCTTATAAAATATATACCCGACCACTGCATAATGCTCGTGTATAAATTAAACACATAAGTAGCTTACAACGCAACGTAGAGAGGTTGGGGAATGCGTTTACGGAATAACGTGATGCAGGGATGAGAATTTTCCTCGGAACCGAGAAATTTCTCGGGTTTGACAGTCCCTGGGGTCGATTTTGTAAAACGTCTAAATTCGATGAGAAAAGTCTCTGTCCAAAGCACTGTATTCACTTGTGTTTATATATCATATGCAAACATGTTCCCCCCCTGATTTTCTCTGAAAATGAAATTCTTCATTCTCATCCCTGGTGATGGATAGTCAGTGATGAGCCTGATTAGTGTGAAGGTTTTTTTTCCGTATTTCAGAATAGTTTTTTTCGTATTCCAGAATGCTGTCTGAGCAGCAACGAGAAGTGCTACAGTCTGCCGCATCTGCAGGACCATCACTTTGTTTACTGGCACATCGAGAACAAGCATCCGTGCATACCCTGCGTGAGTGCAAGCAACATGAAAGCATACTCTATGAATACCGGGGGATGTATGTGTCATTGTAGCATGCGTGCGTGTGCTCGTGTGCAGAGAGAGAGAGACAAGAGAGGTAGCTCGAGATAGATAGATATAGAGATAGATAGAGAGTGATAGAGAGCGAGAAAGAGAAAGCGAGAGAGAGGCAAAACGAGAATAAGAGAGAGAGAGAGAGAGAGAGACTGAGACAAGGATAGAGCGAGAGACAGTCACCCACCATTTAACCCGTCCTTTCCAACTCTCTCTCTCTTTCTCTTCCCTGAAATGTGACAGTAACCCACCATTTCACGCCTCTCTTCCCACAGACGGACGGTGGCGCTATCTTTGAGACGAGCCTGTCGCGCGAGTACTACCTGCTCGCTGAGCACTACGGCCTGACGCGGCGACAGCTCTACGACATCTCGCTGCGCTCCATCGACCACGCGTTCACGGACGAGACGACGCGGGATGCGCTGCGCCGACGCTGGCAGCTAGAGGCGCCCTCGCTCTAGTGCGTCGTCGTCGGTAGAGGGCGCCTCTCGCTCTAGTTCGTCATCGTCGGTAGAGGGCGCCTCTCGCTCTAGTCCATCGTCGTCGGTAGAGGGCGCCTCTCGCTCTAGTTCGTCATCGTCGGTAGAGGGCGCCTCTCGCTGCGCGCTATCGACCACGCGTTCACGGACGAGACAAGAGGCGGCCTCGCTCTAGTCCTTCTCTCTAGTTCAATTACCTTCCTCCCTCTCTCCATCGTCCCTCCTTTCCTCCTTACCTCTCTCTCTCCACCGTCCCTCCCCCTTACCTCTCTCCGTTTTTCTCTTCCTCCTTACCTCCACCTCTTCCCTTCTCCATCCTTTCCTTCCTTACTTACCTCTCTCCCTTTCTCCCTCTCTACATCTCTCCCCCTTCCCTTAGGACCAGCTCAGTGATTGTTGGTTGCCAAACTACTAAATGCTACCCTGTGATAAATTCATCCCCAAAAATTGGTAATTTTTGATGTAAGTCTAGTTGTAACTCCGTAGCTACAATTACTCCTTAATTGCAGCTGCTATTGATTATATATTGCAACATCGCCTGCTCAGCATGGCCAGCAGTAATTGTACGCTACGGCATTTTTATTTTTTTCTACTCGTGTCTGTGTCTGCGCGTTATGTCGTGGGATTCATAATGGAAATCCTGTTTTGATTAAACAATTTGCCAAATTTAGATCGTACGATCTAGATGTAAGTCATTAAAGATGGTGTGTCCTGGAATTTCCCACTCTACTAATCAGGGCGTGGTCTGTTCCAGTAGGCAGTGTTGTTGGGTCCCTCGTTTATTACTATAGTAAAGATGGTCAGGAACTCGACCATCTAACCCGTATAGGTGGCGCAGCGTGCTAGTTTGTAATAGTTTGTAAGTGCCAACAGAACCTTGAACAAGTATGAATGTTTGTTGTGCGGTTAGGACAGAGTACCGGAGTGTCTTTTTTAGCCGTTGCACATTTCTTTTCGTTGATTTTACTAGCATCAAACAGATAATTTTCGAGTGTCGAGCTTGATCGTATATTTCTTTGGAATCGTAACAGAGAGAAGCGTTCTGAGCCTGAGGGCGTAGTGGCTAGCTAGAGACGTGCGAGTGAGGTGGGTGTGTGGCCCCGGTGGGAGTTTAGTTGATGAATCCCCCTCGCATTTATAATTTACGATCTTTGGTAATGACCTGCCAGATGTTTGCGGTGTGTGGACAATCCGCTGGCTGCACGCGGGGGCATGTGATACGCCCACACTCTTCCCTGATGAAGCAACACGAATCACTGTAATCTTTTGTACCTAGCTAGAGCTCTGCTGCGTGTAACCTGCGGAATGTTGTCACTGCGTTAGTCATAAAAATTGATATAATATATCAATAAACATACACCTACAAACATTATATGGATATACTATATATACGAGAGTGGGGGGGTATACCTATATAGAGCTGTATGTCTATTTCTATGGCGTTTAGCAGTCGCTCCACGGTTCTACGGTGAAGTTTCTCTGAACATTGCTCTTACACGCATAACCTTCGCTCCGCAAGTGGAAGTCTCTTCTTCGTGCTTTTACTGTTTTACAGGTGCCGTAGCCTGGTGTGTGTGAGGGGGGGCGGGGCAGCGGCGCCCTAAAATGTTGGAAAAATAAAAAAAAACGCTTAGACTAAATGAATCAGAACAAATACATGCGCTGTCGTCGTTATTAGGCCTACACAGTTGAGTCATGTATTTTGCACCCTCCCCCCCAAGTGAATTTGTCAGCCTACGACCCTTAGCTGGTTACGGTTTCTATTGCGTTATGCGAGCATGACAACAGAGAGAGCTACTCTGCGATCCATGCGTCTTACGATCTATGGTCAACTTGGCTTCAAAAACATCGTTTACGGTATTTCGGGTATCGAGGCACGACGGGTCTGATAAGTTGGAATCGAGGACCGGCAGAAGGCTATCTCTCTATTCGTCGTGGTCGCTCCTTATTATCGTACAGT